AAGTAAACGCGCCTCCCATTTTATGCTTCGCCGGCCAGAGACAGACAGACACGCTGACCTATAGAAACGCCAGGAGGCCACCTTGCGAAAAACAAGGAACCATTAGATTTGTCAGTCGCGACCCCATCGGTACGCCTGTTTATGTTTTTTTTTTTTTTGGGGGGGGAGGCGTGTTTTTCGTGTGTTTTCACATACCGTGGGATCCAGTTTTAGAATTTTTGGGTGATTCCTTGACCCTGTTGGTTGCTTGCTTGCTTGAAATGCCTTGCAAAAAAAATCCTATACATGTTTTTACCGTGTCTTAACGTGTGAGGAATGTCTTCACACATAGATGGCTCCACTAGCGCCTAATCGCCAAGGAGTCAATTACTAGTAAACCTTATTTCACATTTTTATCACTTTCCTTAATTTTTGGAAATATTCTCCTTTTCTATTGTTATCAGTATTGTTAATAGTTTTAAAACAATCATAACGTCAATAACAATAATAACATCAATACGAACAGAAACAACAGATTCCGAAAATTCAAGGAAGGGGGAAATAAGAAAAGGACACTAATTAGTAATTCCGTCCTTGATAAACCAGTTGTTGAGCCTTCTATATATTAGTACTATATGCTGTATTATATCACACATTCTTATATCATACTATACATTATATCATACATAATGATATCTGATGCATAATGCAATACTGATTCTACATATATCATCATATCATCATGAGCCTTAATATATGTATACTGTACTGGTAATACTTATAATATATGTTGCAGTTTTTCATTCGGATTCCTACTGTTTGAAAAATCAGATGATTCCTATTTTTGATTTTATAAAGTTAATGTTAATTTCACGTTGAATTTTATGTTTAGCAACTCAGAGCAGTAACAATTGGAATGATAACAAAAGCAAAATAGTGCTTAGCCATCGCGCGCACACACGCACACACACACACACACAACACACACACACACACACACACACACAACACACCACACACACAACACACACACAACACACACACACACACACACACCACACACACACACACACACCACACACACACACACACCACACACACCACACACACACAACATACACCACACACACACATACACACACACATACATACACACACACACACACACACCACACACACACACACAGAATATATATATATATAATATATATATTATTATATATATATATATATATATATATATATATACATATATATAATATATATATATAATTTTTCTTTTTCTTTTTAAACACATTTATTTCATGTTGAGGAGCCGTAAGACGTAATAATAAGGAAGAAGATAAGGAGAGAAGAGAGGAAACAGCGAGGACCCAAAAGCTTCCTCTCAATACTTCCTTTCTATCCCGCAGGACTTGTTTTTACAGCAATGGGTCCCATTTCCCCTTCGTCTCTCTTTTGTTGTTTGTTTGTTCTTGTCTCGTCTCACTCTCGCTTTTTCTCTTTTCTTTTGCTCTTCTTCCTCTTTCTTCTTCTTCTCCATTGCTCTCTCTCTCTCTCTCTCTCTCTCTCTCTCTCTCTCTTCATCTCTCTTCTCTCTCTCTCTCATCTCTCTCTTCTCTTCTCGTCTCTCTCTTCTCTCTCTCTCATCTCTTCTCTCTCTCATCTCTCTCATCTCTCTCTCACTCCCTCTCCTCTCTTCTTCTCCCTCTCCCTCTCCCTCTCCCTCTCCTCTCCCTTCCTCTCTCTCTCTCTCTTCTCTTTCCTTTCTCTTCTCTTTCTCTTTCTCTTTCTCTTCTCTTTCTCTTTCCCCTTCCCCTTCCCCTTCCCCTCCCCTTCCCCTTTCCTCTCCCTCTCCCTCTCCCTCTATCTCCCTTTCCCTCTCCCTCTCCCTCCCTCTCCCTATCCCTCTCCCTCCCTCCTCCCCTCCTGCCTCTCCCTCTCTCTCTTTCCTTCCCCCTCTCTCCCTCTCCCTCTCTCCCTACCTCTCACTTTTTTCTCTTTTTCTTTTTCTTTTTTTCTTTTTTTCCTTTTTTTTTTTCTTAATGTCACACAATGGGTCACGCTAGTCCTCGCCTTGACGTGACGCTCAACTTATAACAAAATCTGGAATTTACTCTGAACTTGTCAGAGCTTTTTTCTCTAGGAGGAGGGGGGAGGGGGAAAGGGGGGAAGAGCTAATAAAGATGTAAAGTGAAGGTCGTGTAAAGATACAATTACTATTAAAAAATAAAAAATAAATAAAAGTAAATGCATCAGCAAATAAATAAAAATAATGATTGATTTTTAAAAAAAATGTCTTTTCAAATACCATACCGAGGAATTTCAGTTTTAAAAATACCGTGCGAAATCTATATATAATAATAGATAAATAAATAAATAAACAAAAATGTAAAAAGATAAACAAAAATTATATTTTTTAAATAATGCCTTTTCAAATATGCCAAGGAATTTCAAATACATCTGGCAGCGTAAATTATCAGCTGATTCCTTATACTTCCCATATACCTATTACGATTTCTCCTTCGCATCTATAATATTTTCTAGCGATATAACATAAAACGTTTTATCATTCCACTTCTATAAAGAGGGGAAAATTATCAGACATGCAAATTATGATCTAGTATAAAAATAAACATAACAATAAAATAAAAATGAAAAATAAAAAAAGAGGTCAAACAGGGTGATTTCGGTAAACTGCTTCTTACAGGTCCAGCAAGGTCATGCGGGTCTATCTATAGGTCATTTTTTTTATTTTTACTTTTTTTCTTGATTGCTTTAGATATGTTGTCGATGCTCTGTTATTACTATTATCATTCGTTATCATAATTTTTATCATTATCAATAGTATTAACATTATCACCATTATCATTATGGTTGTCATTATTATCATTGCTAACATTATTATAATTTATTATCACTTTCATTATCATTTATTATTATCATTTATCATCATTATTATTTTCATTTCTTATCATTATCATTTCATTTATTATCATTATTATTATCATTTATTATCATTGTGTGTTTCGTTATAAATATTGTTATCATTATTACTATTATCATAATTATTACTATCATTATTAGTACTATTGCTAATAACACTGCTATCATTAATATTATCGATATTCCATAGTCTGTATTTTTTCTTTTCTATCTTTTCTTTTTTTTCCTTCTTTTTACCTTATATGATTTGAGGTTTAGGCAGTCATATACCAAAACTGATAATCAAAAAACACATTATGAAAACCAAGACTTTTTACATTTACTTTGCACAATACCGAAAATGATAATATTCAAATGATCCTGTATTAGATGTAAGAAAAAATAAAATAAACAAAAGTGTTCTGCAGTTTTCATTTATTAAGAGTTTAATGACAGCAAATCTTTTTCATGGATCTTCTGATACTGAAAAATGATTGTCTTGAATTAACATTATGTTATATCCGAATGTTCCACTCATTTTTACTAATGATACTCTCATTACTGTTTTTATGATTATCAAGTTCAAGTATCAAGTTCCTTTAATTAGATTTGGAATACTTTTCTATATATTTTTCCTTTTTTATTATCATTATAAACAATTCCTCATATTAGACCGAATACAAAACAGTACTTTTCTACGCTATTATTTTCTATTACCATAAACAATTCCTCTCATTAGACATTAGACAACAGTTTCCTTTCTTTTTTTTCTCTCTTTTTTAGCGCTTTTGTTATTATCGCCAAATCCTCATCAGATTCCGAGCATGAAAAACCTGTTCTTTTTATATACTTTTTTTTTTCTTCTTCTTTTTTACCGAAAGACCAAAAATGGCACAACGGACAACTTCCTTGGAGAGGGTAAGGACCGCGCAAAAGCCAGATAATTAAAAAAAAAAAAAAAAAAAAAAAAAAAAAAAAAAAAAAAAAAAAAAAAAAGTACTCCGCATTATAAAAAGTTAGATAACCTTAACATCTATAATATTCTTTTTTAGTTTCTTAAATCGAGATGAGAGTTATAGTTACAAGCTATAGCTACGCAATTTCAAACGAGCTGGAGTACCTATAAACGTTAGAGAAAATTCAATAAAAAAAATACCTACAAAACCTTACGAAATAAACGATAAAACATACGTTTGAAAATAAATGATAAAAATGCCTCTCAGCATTTAAAAAACATTAATACCTATAAATGATGAAAATACCTATAAACATCAGATATGTAAACAAATATAATACTTTAAAATATTAAAATACATAAAGAATACCTATTAATCTTAAATTAATGAATAAAAATATACATAAAAACATTTAAGAATAAATAATAAATAATCACAATAACCGTTACCTCTCAGCGACACAGACACAGACACAGACCTATTAATCTCAAATGAATGAATAAAAATATACATAAATCATTTAAGAATGAATAATAAATAATAATCACAATAACCGTTACCTACACAGACACATTAAGACACACCACACACAAATTACTCGGAAGCAAGCCCTTCTTCACCACTTTTTATATCGAGCGTACTGCGCACTTGAGGGGAGAAGCATGACTAAAAGAATGCAATTGAATCCTTTCTCATCTGTAAGGGCAACGAACCGATCCTAGAGACACCTGTTATCTATTATTATCAAAATTACCATTGCTGTTATCATTATTATTATTATTATCAAAACTATAATTTCGATTGTTATTATTTCATTGTTATCATTATTTTTATTATTATAATTATTATCATTATCATTATTACTATTATCATCCTTTTCATTATTATCAGCATTATCATTATTATTCTCAAAACTATTATTACTATTATTATCATTATAATTATCATAATCATCATTTATCACTATCATTTAGCATTAGCATTAGTATCAGCATTTGCATTAGCATTAACATCATTATCATTATCATTATTACTCTCATTATCAATAGCAATAATCAAAATCGTCCAATATATTAATTCTCATTCATAGCCATTTTCCTGTTATTAAGCAGAACGGTGTAAATATCGATATACTGTGCGAAACGTCATTAAAACAAATAAAAAAAAAACATATCAAAAGTAAAGAAAAAAATAGTAAAACATATCAAATGTAAAGAAAAAATATTAAAATATATCAAAAGTAAAGAAAAAATAGTAAAACATCAAAAGTAAAGAAAAAATAGTAAAACATATCAAAACTAAATGAGTGGAGAAAGATTGGTAAAATGAATGAAGGAAAAGTGAGTAAAGAAAATAAGAAAAATCAATAAAGAAAAAAAGAGAAAAGAGTAGCGAAAAATGGTAAAATTTTTAGTGATAAGTGGTTAAGAAGAAGTGAGTTGAAGAAAAATGCGTAAAAAAGAAATGTAAAGTAAAGAGAAATGAATATCACGCCCAAAAAGAAAGTAAAATCAACAATGAAGAATGAATAAAATCAATAAAGAAAACCAATAAAGTAGAAAGATAAACTGCACATAAGCAAATCCCCCAAATCCAGAACTATAACACTGAAATCCCGAAAGGTTAAAATCCAAAACAAAACCAAAAACAAAGACCATAATCCCATTAATCCTCAAAGTAAAAGAGAAGAAGATGAAGATGAAAGAAGATAACAATATAAATAATAAAAATGGGTACAAAAATAAGTATTCCTCTCCTGAATAAGTCACGCGTTTCAACGTCACGTGACAACGACGATTAATCAATACTTGGACTGAACACACCAACCTGGCCGGTCCCGTGTCAACCTTGAAAGTTATTTGTTAGTTCCTAGTAGAATTTGGTAATTATTTTAAGTGGGTGCTAGTATTCATTAATACTAATACTCTTATCATTATTGTATCATCATCATCATCATCATCATCATCATCATCATCATCATCATCATCATCATCATCATCATCATCATCATCATCATCATCATCATCATCATCATCATCATCATCATCATCATCATCATCATCATCACCATCACCATCACCATCATCATCATCGATATTATTATTATTATCACTATTACTATTGCTATATCTATTGTTGCTTTTGCTCCTTTAATTCACTTTGTTGGTGTTCTTCATACTACATTTCGTTTATAATTGTATATGGGTACTGGTGTTTCATATCATTTTCATTGTCATCATTATCATTATAATCATCTTTATCATTATTATTGTTAACATTAACATCTTTATCATTATTTTATGCATTTCCTCATTGACTGCGGCTCGATGTTCGTATTTGTGTTGTTATTGCTGTGTACATATCCAAATGGAGTGTACCGTACTTATGCAAATTAATCGAAGTCTCTAAATAAAACCTTTACTGATTTACTTTATATTATCATATTCGAGTTAGTATTGTGAACACTTTAATAATTGTAATTTCTTTTTCCATGCATGTGATCGTGATTTATATATGTAATTACTATTTCCATATGCACGATTCTTTTAATTTTGCTTCCAGTGTATAAAACCACATCTAACGATCTTATATCAATTCATAACCAAACAAGCATCCTAAAAATAATGATAATAATAAAGACAAGGAGATAACAGAAAATAATATAAGATAATGATGCGTTATACAATATTAGATAGTTCATAAAAAATAATCCATTAATAGATATGATATTAGAAAACATAAAATAATAAAAATAATGCTTTGGTAGAAAATATAATGTTAGGCACCAGATCACATAAAAAGACGATGCGTTAATAAGACATTGAACACTAAATAACAAGCTAATAAAAGATAACGAAAGATACAAAACACTAGATAACAGAAGATTTTTAAAAAGATGATAACACATCAACAGAAGACCTAATGCCAGCTAACGAAAGATAAATAAAAGATAATCAAGATATAACATCAGATATCAGAACATCCACAGACATAACACATCAACAGAAGACCTAATGCCAGCTAACGCAAGATAAATAAAAGATAATCATTAGTTAAGATATAACATCAGATATCAGAACATCCACAGACAAACAGAAACGTGCCCCCAACGCCATCAATAACACGTGTCCTCACCTCGTAGACCACTGCCTGCTGCAACAAGAACTCCGCGGTGTCCATAGGGCTAAGCGACGGCACGATATGACTCCAGGGCAGGAGAGTCGACACCTTACTGATCCGGGTCAGAGTGAAGCCCCGAAGCACTTCCTTCGTCTTATAACATGGTCATTAAACCTTTTTGCTTCGTTTTTTCTTCTGCTTCTTCTTCTTCGGATCGTTTTTTTATATACGTGTTTTTTTAGAGCCGAATGTATAACGCCTGAAGGTCATCACAGTCGACAAGTATTGCAGAAAACGTAGAAGTGTCCGGGATCTCCATGGTAAAGAAAAAATAAACGGGAAATAAAAAAAAATACATAAAAAGGACCAATAACATTTTTTTCTTAATGCTGGTAACCCATAAACGACTGGAGGCTTGGCCCAAGGGTAAAAAGAAAAAAGAAAAAAAGAAAAAAAGGAAAAAGAAATATTACGAAATATATATACTTAGGATGTCTCGTCGGCGATACGAGATCTAACA